AAAAATAAAATATTTTAATAGAAATAAAAAAAAAAAACAAAGTCGAAAAGCAGTATATTTCGTTTCTTTATAATATTTTTTTTATCAAAGCAAACGTTTTTTTTAAAAAGGGGAAAACCCAATCTATGCGTTTGATTGTAAGTTCATTTAAAGTGTTAAAATTAAATTATTTAAAAAAAAAATATTTAAAAAAAAACAACCCTAAATCGAATGTTTGAAAGAAAAAAAAAATGTTTAAATAAGTATAAGATTTTAATACAAAAAGACTTTTTTTTAATCAACATTAAAACTTTAGTTTTTTTTATAACAATATTGTTTAATTTAAAGCTGTTTCGTTTTAAAGCTATTTCGTTTCTAAGACTAACAATGGTTTTTATTGTCATTTAAATTTAAATTTAATTACAATAAAGTAAAACCGCAACAGACGTAAATTAACTTTTAACAATGTAAATATCTTGGGATCGCCTAAATAGCCGAATTCTAAAACGCCGAAAAGCCGAAATGCCGAAAAAAATGGCGTAATAATAGACTTAGGTAACCGTCAAAAAAAACAACGAAAAGTTAAATACCCCCCGGATTTTTTATTGCGCATTTGTAAAGGCAAAGTTTAAAAGGACTTCTGTCCTTTTAAACTTGGCAAAAGCCAAATTTGGCTTTTGGTTCTGTCCTTTCAAACTTTCGCGAATAAAAATAGAAAAAGAGACGAAATAAAAATTAATGTTATAAAATTATTTTGAAACTTTTTTGCTAATTTTATATTTAGTTGTGTTATCGAAAAACTTTGCGTAAAAATTATTAACTAAAATTTTTAATTAGAGTTATTCATTATGACCAGGGTGAACCATAAAGCAAGCGAATTCTCATAAATAATTGCACAAGAAAACTGTGTAAAGATAAAAACCCTTGTTGTTGTGTAAGAGAAACTACTGGTACACTACAACAATTCTAACCAAACTTGGTCCTTAAGCAGAGAACATCTTTTATGATAATATTTCTTGTTATACGAGGTTGGAAAATATTCTATGTAGGCTTCAACCTCATGTAAGAATGAATCCTTGCACACTGAGCAACATTGACAAAAGATATCTTTGAGAATCTCTACCAATAATTTGCGCCTTCTACGAATCTTTTCCCGCATTCAAAGCTTTTGTGAGCGATGTTAAACAGACCAAAACATTGAAACATCGCAAATGACAGAACAAAATATACCTTTTAGCTTTTTTGGTCTCATTAAAGAGTTAAAGACTTTTTAGAAAGAGTTTTTTAATATACCTTGTTTTAAATATATATGGGTTTGAATCACATCAATTATTTCATTAAATAGAATAAAGCCTCGTGTAATCTCTAAAATACGCAGGCAATTAATTGCAACATATTTTTTTTCTAAGATTAAAGAGTTAATTCTTATAAATTTTAGGTCGCTGAATTCGAAAAAGTTATCAAAAAAATTCCATCATGTAAGGTTTTTCTAAAAAACGCAAAATGCTGTGGGATTGTTTATTTTAGGGCGCAAAACGGGGTTTATTGCCAAAATATTTATTATTTTATTTATTAACTTATTATAAGATAATTTTATGTTTCGTAGGCTAAAACAAAATATTTAGTAACTCATGAAGATAATATTAGTAAGCGTTGAACCATATATATATCGGGATTTTCCATAGTAAGTATGGAAAATCCCGATATATACAAAACAACAATGAAATATTACTGAATTTGTTAAAAATGTGTACTTGTGTATCTTGGTGTGAAGATAGGCAATCAGGACAAATTTTGGGCTCCGCATGGAGTTTGTTCAGGGTGCGTTGAAGAACTTAGAATGTGGTCAAAAGGTAAAGTTAAATCTTTTCGTTTTGGTGTACCCATAATCTGGAGAGAGCCTCGAAACCACAGCGATGACTGCTACTTTTGTTCGTGTTATGTGCAGGGGTATAGTACCAAAAATAAAAAATAAATTTTTTATCCAAACATGGAATCGACACTCCACCCAGTCCCTCACGGACCTGGCATTCCTACACCACAAGCACCCCAAAGTCTAGATGATTTACCATCATTAGAAAGTGAATCAGAAGAAAGTTCTTGTGATGAGTTTCAGTTAGGCGACTACAGTAGTCCTCAACATTTTTTTCAAGCTGAATTAAATAACCTGATCCGAGATTTAGGACTCTCAAAACAATCTGCTATTCAAAACATATCTGCAAAATAAATATTTTGAGCCCTTATTTTCCTCAATATGGTGAGATGGTCTATTGTTCCGATAACAATGGGTTAATATCCATGTTCAAAGTTCAACATATGGCTGAAAGTTGGAGACAGATTATTGATTCTTCAAAAAGAAGAATAAAAGCTTTTTTACTTCACAACAAGAATAAGTACGCATCAATACCCGTTGGTCACTCAGTGCATTTGAAGGCAACTTATTGTAACTTGGGATTGATCTTGGATTAATTAAAGTACAAAGAATTCGAGTGGACAGTTTGTGGGGATCTTAAAGTAATTTCTATGATACTTGGACAGCAAGGTGGTTACAAAAAATTACCCTTTTTTCTTTGTTAATGGGATAGTCGTGCTAAAACTAAACACTGGAAGCAAAAAGTGTGGCCAAAAAGAACATTGAAGATCGGAGATGAAAACGTGCACTTTGAATCTTTGGTTGATCCTAAAAAGGTCCTTCTACCACCACTCCATATCAAACTTGGCATGATGAAGCAGTTTGTGAAGGCATTGCTAAAAGATGGTGAGACATTTAAATTTTTTTCAAGCAAGTTTCCTGGTCTGTCTGAAGCAAAGCTGAAAGAGGGAGCTTTTGTTGGTCCTGACATTCGTGAGCTAATGAAAGATAACAACTTTGAAAATATGGTGAACTATGTTGAGAGGTCAGCATGGAATTCTTTTAAAGACGTAGTAACAAATTTTCTAGGGAATCAGAAAGACTCGGACTTGAAAAATATCGTAGAAAATATGTTGTGCAATTCTAAAAATCTGGGATGCTCAATGAGTTCAAAACTCCATTTTTTTGAACTCCCATTTGGATTACTTCCCGGAAAATCTTGGTGCAGTTAGTGAAGAGCAAGGTGAGAGGTTTCACCAAGATATAAAAGAAATGGAGAGAAGGCATCAAGGTCGATGGGATACAAATATGATGGGCGACTACTGCTGGATGCTGCATAGGGAAAATGTAACATCCCACAAAAGAAAAAGCTCTAAACGAAGCTTCGAAACTAAAAAAACTAGATTTTATAAAGCTTTATAGTTGTATATAATGTATACAAATTATTTTATGATTTAAAATGAACCAAATTTGCATAGTTTTACCATTTTTTTTCTTCTTATGATTATTGTCTAAAATAGTAGTGTAAGGCGGGCTTTGCCCATATTTTATTTTCGACTTAGCGGAAAATCCTTACGTAATGGGTCGAAATGGATGGTATTATTGAAATCAGCATACCAAAATACATATAATTCACCCATTCCAAAAAAAAAAAAAGTTTTAATTTGCAGACCTGTGTAATTAATAAATATATTTTAAAGCTCCATTATTTATAAAAACTTAAAAATTTTAGTAGTAATAGCAAATATAAAATGCGAACTAAAAAAATATTGGCGGTACCCACATAGACCGTAATAAATTTTTAAATTTTAAAACTTTTTTTTAAAAGTTAGTTATTAGAGAAATAATTATTTAGCACCGATACTGTTACTTTCTAAATTAATTGATGATGTCAAGTGTAGGAATAAAAAAAGAGTTTCTTTAAAATTACAAATAAAAACGTTTTTTCATATTTTGGAGCACTGTTAAATAATATATAACAAAAACGAATAAAATGCAAAAGAGTAAGAAAACCCAATTTACTATGTGAAACATAATTTTTAATTTTGGAACTGAAAAACTGATATTGTTACATTAACTATGCACAACATCCTGTGCTGAACACAACCAGCCATATAATAAAGGCTACCATTCACCTGATTATTTACAAACTAATTGTCTTTTTTTAATTAATCACATATATAAGTAATTTCATCTTTTATCAGGTCGATCGTGAAACGATCTTTATGCTAGAGCAACGACAATCAGTTTCTTCAATGAATTCATGTTTGCTGAGTAATTTCAACCGTTGAAGACTAAAACTGTTCATTACTCGTTTTGCTGATATAACATAATTATCGCCATTTAGTATCTACAGATAAATAAATATTTCATAATATTTAATAATAAGGCTAAATAAATTGGATTGAATATGAAGTGATTGAGTTTTAAAAAAATTTGAAACAGCAATTGTCAAATAAAAATCACTGCCAAATTTATGCCTTATAAATTAACACTTTTGAATAAATGAGTAAAAAGTCTTCTTAAGTAATGTTTTTATTTCACCCACCCACAGTATATATAAAATAAGAAAAGTATTGGGTTGTCTATATTTTAAAAATGACAAATATCTTATGTACCAGCAACAAAAAAAGTATATAACCTGTCAATGCCAAATTCACTTTTAAGAGTTTTTGAAAGATGCCAGGAAGAAAGGATTGGTAATCTTCTGAAATCGATTTTTCTTATTACTTCTTGTAGTATATAGACTAAAGCCAGATTAGTTTGTGAAAAGTACTGTAACGTCTAATTTCCTTGCCCTCTCACATTTTAGAAGCTACATCAGCATACACTAAAATACATTTTAAAAAATAATTTATTTTTTAGAATTTATCAATAAAAAAGAAAAACCTTATAAGCTGTTTACCTGAAACATGGGTCAATGAGACTTTTATATATTGGCATACAAGCTGGTTGCCAGTGTTTTTACATACACCCATATTCAAAGTTAATTTTTGATATCATTTGAAATAGATGTCAACCTATATCGCAATTTTCGGGTGTCTATGTTACATAAATCTATCTATGTTAAAGAATTTTTACATAACATGAAAATATATAACAATATATAACTATTTTATGAAAATTTGTATTATGATGCAAAACAAAACAATACCAATTATACCAGATTTATTGATAAAAAAAGCAACAACTTTAAAAACATTTTCTTTTCTACTATTACTAAAAGTATTTAAAACTAAATACTATATGAAAACAAATGGGTATAAAAAAATATCTAACACAAGGAAAATTTTAACTAAAACTTCTTTCAAATTATTCGCAAACTCACTGTAAGTGTTTCAAAAGCTATATATAAATAACAGAAATTACTCTAATAAATAAAAAAACACAACTTTTTTATTATAAAACATAAATATATCGTGTTAGTTATAATATTATCACTATATAGTAAAAATGAATCTAAAATCTTAAAACTTTACAGTGCAATTCATATCAGTTCAAAAAGCATTAATCAATAAGATAAATGACATGGTTTGCAACTTTATTTTGCCAATTATATGGTATCATCTTGGTTAGTTTTCCATTTTTTTGCATACCATCATAAAAAAACCATTGATCTCTTATGTAGTGCAAAGATGTAAAGTGAGCATTAAGTCCAAGAGTTATGCATGCCAAGGAAAAGTAACATTTTTCAATTAAAATTTTTTTTGGCAAATTCATCAGCGAAGAAATTGAAATGTTAGGAATATCACACTCAATCACAATCATCCAAGTATTTTGAGATTTTAATGTCGTGCCACAGTGATTTAATTCTTTATTGCCACAAACTAAACAATTTAGAAGCAATCTTTTATCTTTCAAATAACCTAGCAAATAATCTGTTGGGTCATGGTTTGGAGGCAGTTCTATAAAATCAAAAGGATGAAAAGAACTATTTAAACATGTAAAACATTTTCCAACACTCTCGAATGTAAATGCTTCTTTAAAGTGGTTGAAAAAAAATGTTTTAGATGATCCATATAAGTTAAAACAAGGTGAGCTTGTAATTTGTATTTTACTTTTTAAAAAGCATGCCCAGATTTCTTTACCATAATTGTCATCATCATTATTTAAATATCTCATTGCTTTTTTAAGCTCTATTTCTGCTTCTGAAGTACCAAGGCGATTTAAAAAGTACTTATCTGCATGGCAACGCAACTTCAACATTGTTAAAGTGTTATCAATTGTGCAACTGTTTAAAACCAAACCAACACCCCATTGAAGTCCTCTTGGAATAGGATATTTTATTTCAGGCACAGTAGATTGCTCATTCTGCTTTATACTGAAACTTTCATTTTTTGGAACTGCAAGTTCACAAAAATTCAATGTTTTTAAATTCGAATCAATATCACATTTCCTTGGGTTTTTTTTGCCTGATTTTCTCTCAACTTTAAGCCTATTTTTTTGTATAAGTGAAGTTAAGTTTCTTTTTTTCCCTTCAAAGTGTTCTAAACTATTTACATTTCCAGAGAGATATTGAACTGCTAAAATGTGAACACATTTTTTCGAGGCACCACAAGTACAATGTGCAGGTGGGTTCAAATTTACAGAATGAATAATTGTTTCTGATTCTTTCACTGACCAACTTCGATTTTGGGGAACAATTACAACTCCGTTTTTATTTAATATATCCTTTGCTAATGAGGATATTGAATAAACAAGTTTTGGAAGATCACTTTTAACTGGTTTTTCAACTAACATCTCTATAGAAGCATAAGGAGAAGAAATATTGTTATGATCTTTGTAATGTATTTCAGTTTCTTTTATATGCTTTACTATGTCATCTGGTAGGATGATTTGATTAGCGCTAAGTTCATCTGTTGATCTTAACATAAAGGCAAACTCATCACTTAACTGATACAAACCAACATTATAGTATCCCTTTTCAACTTCTCTGTGAAAATAGGCACTGAGATAATTCATAGCTAAAATGCAAGAGTCCATTTTTGTTATTTTGTTGTCAATAAGATCCTTAATAACTTTATTTAAAGACTCTGACGCATTATTGGTAACACCAAAGTTTGGGCACTTTATCCCTTCTTCTGCTAAAACAAATGCAGCAGCACGAGAAATAACATCAGAGTGCATGTATTGAATGTAGTTTTTTTGAAATTTTTGATCATTCCAAGGGTTGATATTTCCTTTCGTTAGACTTTTAAGTCTTGATTCATATTCAAAAACAGAATTTGATCGAAGAATGTATTTCATGGCTTTTACAGCTTCATCATACTCTGATGATGAAAATTTACCATTCTTTCCCATCCATTCCTTTACATTTTGCAATAAATGGTTCCAACATACCAAACTTTTTGTATTATCAAAATAATGGGAGCCATCAAACTCACGATCAGAAATGAATAACTTCCTGGATTTATTAAAATTTTTTCCGCAAACATTTTCTTTTAATGTTTGAAAAAAGTATTTGTGATTTTGTGCTAACCTTTTTTCATGTATAAAAAATGCAAAAGGAACAGTAGGCGAAGAATATAAGTATTTATTCCTTTTTCTTTCCAAACAAACGTGTCGATAAGCTAAGCATGACAAATAATAATTTCCTAAATTGAAAGTTGTGTCATAGTGAAGTGTAATTTCTTTACAAGGTAGTAATTCTAACATTTCTTCCATTTGTGTAACAATTTTTTCACAACACATAACAATACAGATGTCTGGGTAGCTTTCTATTTTTTGAACAAATGGATGAATGGAATACGCAACAAGATGACTATTCCAAACCTCATCCTTATTATGAAAATTATTTTTTTCAGCATTTCTTGTCATAATATTTGCAACCTGTTTAGGATTTCTTGGAATAATAGAAGTTGAAATATGACCACCTGGGTCATTTGATAAAAGGCTCCTATATGCATCCATGGGTTTATTTTTCCCTTGAGCCAAAACTTGATCAAAAACATAATGCGATGATCTGTAAAAAAAAGATTTTGATTTTGTTGAATTTCCATGACATCTATCAACATATGATTTTTCATTGCCCTAGTAATGAATCAATGCTTTTTTTCCATTTTGCAACAAATATTCATGCTTTTCAAAATTGTTAGTATATGTTTTACCAACTCTTGCGTAAAAATATGTCTTAGTGATTAAACCATTTCCTAATGCACAACTTTTTTTGTTCCTCCACATATAGCCATCTGCTGGCAAATGCTTTTTTAATGTTTTGTCACTGGAAATTGTAAACCCATAAATTTCTCCTGCTTTGGGACGAACAGGTATAGTTTCTTCTCCATTATTAAAATAAGTAGCATTTTGTAATAGAGTCAGAACTTCATTAAAGGTAAGTGTCTCTGTTTTTTTAGTTATGGCAGGAGTTGCTGCAGTTATGTTCAATGTTGCTTTTGAATTTTTTGATGTCACAGATTTTTCTGATGTCATGGAAAGTTGAATAAAAACTTTGTCAGAAGTTTCATTATGCATATTAACCTCAATTACATTTTGATCTTTAAGGCTCGCATTTTTATTTAAATAAGCTGTTGATGTTTTATCATTGATTGTATTAGAATAAGATTGATCAACAGGTATTATTTGCAATGCATAGTTGTGGTCATTTTGAAACACAAATAGAAATTGGTGTCTGAAACTTTCTAAATGTTGAAGGGAATATTTCTGCTCATAAAACAAAGATCTTTCTTGTTGGTTGGCCATAAATTTGAATTTTGAGAAAGAAATGTTCTTTTTCATAATTTTCAATTTTGAGATTCATTCAAAGATACAAAATATAATTCAGAAAAAAATTGGTAATTTTTTTTGTTGATAAATTTAAGTAAAAAAATAACAATAAAGGTAATAAAAATAATATTAAATACTTAGTAAAAACAAATACACATTAAAGGCATACATAAATTAAATTGTTATGGTAAAAACTGTCATATTTATTTGGGAAAATTTTTGTAAATGTTCTAATCTATCTAAAAATTATCATCTACATCTTAAAAATTTAATAAAATCTACATCTTATTATGATTTCCAAAAAAACATAAAAAAAGTTTACACTATTCTATTAGCTTCATATTAAAATTGATTAAGATATAGGTCAATTTATTTTATCTTTTCTCAGAAAACTACATTCTAATTAACAATTTAAAAACACTGCCATAATCTTATCAACTCCAGATTAAATTTATTTAAAAACATAAATAAAAACTTGTATGTGTAACAAGTGAAGACTTTGCAATGTTATGCAAAAATAGTGTCACAATTCAGAGAACTAATGAAAGTTTTGCATTCTAAGAAAAATATTAATCCACTGGAAACTATGCGGATTAGAAATTACTTAATTTCAGAATCAAAAACTAATAAAGGAGTAGTTAAATTTCACAAATCTTTCATATATATATATATATATATGTATATAGATATATATATATATATATATATATATATATATATATATATATATATATATATATATATATATATATATATATATATATATATATATATATATATATATATATATTAGCATTATTAACAAAATAGTAAAAATTACTGAAAAAACTGATGCTAACATTTAAAAATATATAATAGTCATAGTAGTAGTCAAACTGTAGCTGCGTTAACAGCAAGTGAGTTAGAAATTTAATTTGACAGCTTTTGAAAATATACTGCAATATAACTTATATATAACAAAATATAACTTTCAATAATATAATGCAAAAGATGAATAGTTTAAACAAAAAATAATTTTTAAGTTAACTTTTTTGATACTAAATATTTGTCTAATTTTCTCTTGAAACTGTTTACATTTGTTTACTTGACAACTTCCAATGGCAATGTGTTCCATAAATTTTCTGTTCTGTTTATAATAAATTCATGCCTAGAAGTTTATTTTCCAATTTTAACAAATTATTAAACTTCATATACTAATTCTTTTTTTTCTATACAGTAACGAACTCTCTTCTCACTAGACAGTTTTACAATAATAATTTGAATAGAACATACCTTTAGGTACCTTCCTTCATATACAGCACTTTGCAAAGCTCAAAGCTTCTCCCAATGCTTGCATTCCTTGTCATTTTTCTAAACATAAACAAACAAGCAAAAAAACAAATTAGAATACTTATTAAGACTTCATTGAAGTTTCTTCAACAAGCTTTATTGAATTTTGTTGCTAAACTAACTACTCTATATTTACTTTCAATAAAATAAATATGTTTAGCAATCGTTTTAGCTTATAAAAGGAAAGTATGGCTGTTAAAAGTACTTGAGGTTTGTCAAACTGATGGGTCAACCATACTATTAAAACATTAAAGTTTAATGTCTTAATATTTGTTAACTAACACAGATTAAAGATTAATTAATCTTTAATCTGTGTTAGATAACACAAAATAAAGAAACAAATAGAAAGAAAAACAACGAAAATTTTACTATTTCCTATTGTTGTGATAACAGATTTTTATCTTACTGTGCATGTTTGGCATTAGTGACAGGCTTTCCCCTTATTGTGCAGCTTCCGCTAAACTTACTTTATTGTTGCAGGCCACTATTATTTTGGTATACAACACATAGATGGCATAGCAATACAAAACTTATTGCTACATTATATTTTTTAATTTTACATGTTTTGAAT